GGTGTTTATAATAATAATGACAATAGTAATGAAGGTGATAATTGTAGTGGTGGTAGTGGCGGTGGCATGATAGCATTGATGGTGGCGGCGATGATATTGACAACAAAATGTTAGTGGTACTTATAACAACAATAATAATAGTGATGAATGTGATGATAGTAATGGTGGTGGTGGTGGTGACAGCATGATTGGGATGACATGATGGTAGTGATGATAGTGGTGGCATGATAATGGTGGTGAATTTATAATAGTGTATATCGATATTTATGTTTAATATTTATAAATTAAATTATGATGTTGTTTGGTAATATGCTATTTTAGTAATTTTTTGACTTTTATAAAGAGATATGCAGGAAAATAGAGATTGATATGATAACTTATAACTACTTTTTGAATTTTTGACTAAAATATTTAATCTCCAAACGAAGCTAAATAAGTTTCATATAACTTAATTTATTTTAAAAGTTTTAACCTACATTTTAAAATACATTTAAATTTTAAAATGATATTAATTGTGATTATAACATAGGCTTAATTAATTATTACTTAATATATTTAATTTTAAGTTTTAAATCAAGTTATTAAACACATCCCATATTTAAGGCAGTCTTGAATTCTGTTATGTGGGAAACTGTATGCACCATATACCCTTTATAATTGGGGCTGAGTAAGGAATTCGTAAAATCCGTAATTTGATCCAATCCAGTCCAATCAAGTAGGTTTAGATTAAGTTTTTGAATCCGTGGTTCGGTTCTGGATTGAAAAATTAAAAATCCGTAGTTCACGGATTGATTCCGGATTGAACTCCACGGTTCCGGATTGGAACCGATCCGGACCGTATACAAATAGTCTATATTTTTATTATACACCCTCCTGCATAGTGTCTTCTCTTATTTCATATAAAACTTAGGGCAAATTACATATACACCCCTCCAGGTTTGGTTAAATTACAGATACCCCCCTGAGGTTTCGGAAATTACATCCCGCCCCCTGAGGTTTGTATTTTCATAACAATTTACCCCCTGAGGTTTATATTTCATAACAAATTACCCCATAATTTCTTATGCAAATATAACATTCAGGGGGGAATTCGTAATTTCTCAAACCTCAGGGGGTATCTGTAATTTTGTCAAACCTGGAGGGGTGTATATGTAATTTGCCCTAAAACCTTAAATTCAAACCTAAACTTGCATAATATTTTTTTTTATTACTTTTGTTTGCTAGTTTTTAGTGTTAATTTGTAATGGTCTAAATACTTATAGTAGAACTAGTTTTTTTATGGTTGTTTAAATTTTAGAACAGTTTGTCGCTATAACGAAAAGGCATGTTGCTATTATGAAACTAATATGATGCTATATTTATATTTTTATGAAATTAAAGTGTTATAGATATATATTTTTTGTTATTTAATTATGTAAATCTGCGGTCCTAAAACGATCCAATCCGTGAATTGGTTCGGATTGGTTCTACGATTTAAACGGATTGGATTGGTTCTAATTTTTCAGTATCCGTAGATAACGGATTGGTCCTGCTTTTACTCCAATCCAAACTATGCTCACCTTTATTTATAATTAAAAAAATTAACATAATTTTAATTTTTTAAGTCATAATTTTAAAAAATTATTATAATTAAATATAATATAAGACATAATTAAAAAATTTATAAATTATAATTAAAATAACATCATAATAAAAAATGAGAAACGAGAATGGCATAAATAGGGCATATGATACACCTTTTGTTTTCATAATTAGTTACCCACACGTATAGATGGAGAGATGTTTTCTGGGTTTGGGTTCCAAGAACAAGTCGGTGGCTGTCAAAGAAGGTATTACTGTTGCAAGAAAAGATTCAGGTAAATACACTCGCCTTGTTCTTTGTTCTTTTTCTTTCATTTCTGTTTTTGTTTCATTTATACTTGTTCTGTTTGGTTGCTGAGAAAATATGTAAAGTTGGGATTTTCTATAATGTTTTTAATCTTAGACTAAAATTTGCAAATGAAAATGTTGGGTACCGATTAATTATTATTATTATTTTTGATTTCTTAAAGATGGAATTTATTCTAACATTTGTTCACAAGTAGAACAAAACTTTCATATATTGTAGATTTTTTTTTGCTTTGTTTTTCCCTCTTCTTGAAAATTGGGATATGTTGAAACAAAAAATTAAAATAAAACGTCGAAATTACAACTAGCCTCATATATTTGATATAATGACAACACTACTTTTTCGTTTTCAGTAAGAATAAAGACACCGAAACTAATATCCTTTTTGGTGCTGGCTTCCCTGGAGGGTAATGTTGGGCCCGGGGGTTACCATGGATCTCGTTTTAATAATCTGGACCGTTATATATATATATATATGCCTATAAAAATCACGTTGATCGGATATCAATAGTTACGTGATCAAATCAGATTTGTATTAAAAAAAAAATGGGCGGTGAAAAAGTAAACGGTTGACAGAAATTTGATCTAGTGAGATAGCAATCGATATCCGATCAATATGATTTTTTACAGGCATATAGTACTCGACGAGTTCTACACATTGTCAGATTAATGGACCCCCACGGGCCAGTACTCTCTAATCTGATCACGGACTGGAGGGAATAAAAAAAGGAACCAAATGTTATTTGAATTAAAACCTTAACGTTGCATTTGGTTGGGGATTTGAAAAAGGAAAAGGAAAAGGTGTGTGCCATAATATGAAATGTAGGTATATTTTATTCATATCCAGAGACGAAACTAAGATTTCATCATCGGAGGAGCCAAAAGACAAATAAAAATTTTCACCATATACATAAGATCACATATATGTACAAATATGATATATAAACTATATCTATACACATAAAAAAAAATTAAAATACTGTAGAAGCAATTTATTATAGGATAAAAAAGTTTTTTTGGTGCAAAATAAAAAGAGAACGCAAGATGAGATAAGAATGAGATATGTATTTTTTATACCGGGCCATTTTATGTATAAAATGAGATACATATTTTTAAAATGCCATGACAAATCGTATTTTTCACAATAGGGGGCCATGCCCCTATATTCTCTTGGTTCTGTCCTGTTCACATTTCACTTACCTTTTCCCTTCCCCTTCCCCTTCCCCTTCCCCTTCCCCTTTCCCTTTCCCTTTCCCTTTTCATTTTCAAATCCTTTCTCAAATCCCCCAATAAAACACATTGTAAGAGAGTTTAGTGTAATTATGTCAAACTTGTGGAGCTTACTGTATAAATAGCATCCTTCATTTATCAAAAACATATTATTTTATTTGTTTCATCTTAATCTTTCTTCAATAATACTATGTTTACCATGTTCTTATACTAGATTTTGTTACATGATACATCTACACAATTTTTGGATATTAATATGAGACATATGTGGGAGCTATTGTTTTGTGACATGCTACATTGATGTGATAAATAAAATATATTATAAAAAGATGGCAAGTATAGCATTATTATTGTGTTTCGTGCATTACAGTTTGGATTATCTACACTAAGACTTCCTCAACTATTAGCGAATATTACTAGGAATGGCAACGAGCTGGGGAGGGGATGGGGATCGATCCCCAGAGGTTCAAAATTTCCCGCCCTTGCCCCCGTCCCCTAAAAATCCCCGACAACAGATTAAAAAAAAAAAAAAAACAGAAGATCATTATCAACAACATAGATCATCATCAAACAACAGATTAAAAAAAAAAACAGCAACAGATCATCAAAGATCTCACACAAATCTGAGCTAAAATCTATATATATATATATGTATATAACACAGAGAAAGAGAGAGGAATGGAGAGAGCTGGAAGGCGTCGGTAGAGAAGCGGATAAGGACGGCAGAAGAGATCAGCGTTGTGAAGAGCACTGTGAGGGACTGAAATGGCGATTAGAGCACTCCATGGCGGCTCTCTTCTCCCTCCCTCTTCCTCTCCCTTCTCCCTATTTTTCTCATGACGCGAAGCTCTCTCTCGTTGCGAAAAATGGCTATCAGAGCACGATTTGGACTGAAATCGGTGAGATATTAGAGATAGAGTGAGAGAGGGTAAAGGGAAGAGTGACGGCGGCAGAGAAACGGGGACTGTGAAGAGCACGGAGAAACAATGGAGATTGGCGCTGTGAAGAGCACTATCTGTGTGAGGGACTGATGTGTTTTGTGTGTGTCTATAACCCTAAAATGAGGCCAACAAATTGAGAGACACACAATCACACATATATATACAGAGGGGTACAAAAGTAATTTTATTTTGGGAAAAAATGGGGCCGGGGACGGGGCTGTGAAAGCTATCCCTGTCCCCTGCCCGTTGGTGATATTTTTTGGGGAAAAACTTCTTTTATTGTGGACGGGAGAGCGGGTTCCCGTCGGGCCAGGTTCAAATTGTCATCCCTAAATATTACTTTACCCCTCATATATGAACCAGTATATTTTGACCTCCTTAATTATAAACTTGTATTATTTTCACCCGTTGCAAAGCCCCTCCAAACCACCTCCCAAAGGTCCAAAAGGAGTGTATTTGTATGATTTTTTTAGTTGAGGGGTCAATAGGTATGGGTTTATAGATGAGGGGATAAAGTGATATTTATTAATAGTTGAGGGGTCTTAGTGTAATTAATCTTTATAGTTTTTAGCAAAAGTATAATAAGACAAAAAAAAATGAATAAAATAATATATAAAGTTTGAAGAATCTGTTGGAGTGCACACACAAATTATTCCTCAATTTGCTTTGTAAGTTGGCATAGCGTACTTTTTATCTTAGACTTTTGTAGTTTTTGCTAGAGATGCGCTTATAGGTTTTGCAGTACTTGGGGGCATGAATAAAACAAATTAAAACGTGAACAATGAAGTTTACTTTTCTTTTCTTTTCTTGTCTTTTTTCCGTCTGCCAAACAAGTGGCTAATGTGTTTTATCATTAAAGTTTTCAAGATAACTCATTATTTTGTTATTTTTTCTCTTAGAGTGCTAATGTGCGCCTTGGATGCGCACGATTACTGAGTGCTAGTCTAATAGACAATACATTATAGAATGAATAACACTTTGCACCTTTTTAAGTATTACTTAATTCTCAATTCGGCCTTCATTTTGATTCTTCAACTATTGGATTTTTGTCAATGTAGTCCAGTTCAGTTACTTACTGATGAAAAATGCCGCACGATACTTGAACTTTTTCTACTTTGGCCCTTTGGTTAGTGTCATGTGGTGAAAGAATTTGACGGTACCATCTGGACCACATTGACAAGAATTCAATAATTTAAAGACTAAATTGGAAAAAATATAAAACTTAATGGCCAAAATGAGAATTGAATAATACTTTAAAGGTGCAAATTGTTGTAATTTAACCTACGATATAATATATCTAATTGTTCTCTTTTGGCTGGAGGGTTGGTTGTTGAAACATGCAGTTTGTTTTTTGTCATGCCTTCATCCTCTCTACCGGGCTTAGGTAAAGAATTTTTATAGGTTCTTTGGGTTTGCCAGATGTCACATACATTTCTAATAATTTTTTTTAAATGATGCATAATGTAATATAAAAAACAATTGAAAACCCCAAAATGTGTTAGATGTAATATTATATTGGCTTTGACCACGTAGTTCTAAATATTCTAATGTTTATAAAATTATTTCTTCAATTAATAGATGTAAACAAAACAATTATAATAATGTTCATGAGATGCGCAGTGATTAATTTTTTAAAGTTGATCAATATGTTCATCCCCTTTTGACAGCTACACTGATGGAGCATTTTCAATGTTAAATTGAACTCTTGATTTGTATAATCACCCTATGAAGAATATGGGGATATGTTATTGATATATGGTTAGGAGGGTAGTCTAATTTATTTATTTATTTATTTATTTTTTGTTTCTTAACCTACACTATATATAATTACTCCGTAGATCGTAGCTTCGAGAAGTGATTCACTGTCTATATGATATTACGTTAAAATTAGGTAGCTCTGAACAGAGAGTTCTCTATTGTGGAAGAAACAGTTGGTAGTATTTTCTCTTGGGTTCTAATTTTCAGCAGCATCTGGAGCTTCAGGCATGCAGTGGTCATTTTCAAACAAGGTTTCTGCACCTCTAGATCGTAGCTTCGAGAAGTGATTCGCTGTCTATATGATATTAAGTTAAAATTAGGTAGCTCTGAACAGAGAGTTCTCTATTGTGGAAGAAACAGTTGGTAGTATTTTCTCTTGGGTTCTAATTTTCAGCAGCATCTGGAGCTTCAGGCATGCAGTGGTCATTTTCAAACAAGGTTTCTGCATCTCCTCAGTACCTTTCTTTTAAGGCTAATCAAGATGATGGTGGACCTAGAAAAACCGGTTTTGATTCCCTCTCCTCAACTAGATTTATGACTATATCCAGTGCAGAAGCTTTTGAATCCAATCACAAACTGTACTCTAGCATCGTGCAGGTTTGTTCTTGTGAAGTGTTTGGAATCATCACTTTAAGATAGTTTTCTTCTAAATTAGTCCGCATGAAGTTTATATCTCAAATCTCAATGTGTTGTTGTTATTTTCATGGAAATTACAAAAGTTTTGAGCCTTGTTGAATGATTCTGTGTGATTTTTGGATGTGTTCCTTTTGCCCCCTTTTTTCTTTTCTTCAATTTATAGAAAAACTTGAATCTGGATAAGCAAGCGGGAACCCATTATACAGTGACCAGCTATCCTCCAAAGCAATTTGATGCACATTCTCGTCCCCATGAAGCCAGGATGCTGCCAATGGCCAACCAAACAAACCAAAAGATTTCCATTATCAGTTCTGCTATAAACCCACAACCTCTTCGAGCAGTTCCTGTAATATCCTCTGTTTCAGTCGTTCCCACGAGCACTTCAGTTGTCGGTACCACTGACTTAAGGTATCTCATATTACAGTTTCTTTGGGTACTATTACTGTTATTGAAATTTTTAATCGAAATGTTGAATGTTCTACCATAAATATAGCTGGAAACTTTAAATTGAATTGGATCTGTCTTCAGGAACAGTTCTAAGCCCTCCGGGGGTCCTGCTCAGTTGACCATCTTTTATGCTGGTTCTGTATGTGTTTATGATAATGTATCTCCTGAGAAGGTACTTGCATTTCTTTCTCTTTTTCTATTATATAAGCTCCTTAGGTTGTGTTTGGTAACGTTTTTGTTTTTGTTTTCATTTTTCCGATCTGTTTTTTTTTTTTGCTTTCTAATGTTTCCATTTTCTGTAATTTGTTTTAGTTTTCATCTTTTTGTTTGGTAATGTTTTCATTTTCTGTTTTCATGTTTTCTTTTTTTAAACCAGAAGCGAAAACTTGTTTGGTATGCTATTTTTGTTTTCAAAAAAAATAAAATTGACTCCAAAATTGTCAATATTTTTGGAAATGAAAAAAAATATGGTGTTTTCACTTAGTTTTCAAAACAAGTTTTCACTCTCTCCTCCCTCCCCCATCACCTTCGGCCCCCACCCACCACCGCTACCGGCTACAACCAACCGTTGGCTATTGGGGACCCCCCAACAAGCTCCGGCATGGGATGGTCACCACACATGACCTCCGGCCACCAACTCCGACAGCTACTTCCGTCCACCTCCACCACCGGCCATTAGTAGCCACCAACGCTAGCAACTCATTAAACATGTTTCTTCATTTTTGTTTTAAAAAATTGTGTACACCAAACAAGTTTTTTTATTTTTGGTATAAAAAAAAATTAAAAAAAAAACAGCGTTATCAAACCACACCTTAGATTTATTTTTTCTCCCCATTTCTTTCTTCTGTTGTGTTGGGTAATTTTTTTATTTTTTTTTGGTTTTAATTCAGGCTCAAGCTATCATGTTGTTGGCTGGAAATGGGCATTCTTCAACTCCAAATAAGGCAGTAGCTACAACTCAAGTGGAAGTACCGGTACCAAGGCCTTCTGGTGTTGACAATTTCATTGGGAACCAGTCCCGTACCACGTCCCCTTGTTTAGGTCTTCCGAGCCCTATTTCTGGAGGATCCAGTAGCAGCACTGCTATAACAGCAGTGCGAGCAATAGGAACCCTTGCATCTACTTCTAACAAATCAGAGCCTTCTACAGGCGTCAGTTCAAGAGCACCTGTTTCTGCTCCCCTGGTTCCATCAGGTTTTCTTTGTTTTTTTCAGATCAGCTTCTTTTCTTCTATAGTTATTAAGCCATGTGTTTTCTCATTGTCCTATATAAATATTGAAAAGTACTATACATAAAACGGATTTCTTACTTGATTTTCGTACCACTAAAATCTGGTGAGAAATATGTTCATAGCGTTACTTATAAATATTACCATACTGAAGTTCACAATTTTCATTTCTTATAGCTGTGCCTCAGGCTCGTAAAGCATCTCTAGCTCGATTTTTGGAGAAACGCAAGGAGAGGTAATTAACAGTAATACAGTTGATTTTAATTTGCAAGTATTTATATTGATATATTAAAAGATTATTTCCCAGTGGTGCCCAACTGTGATCTGTATTCTCTTTTAAACCTGCATGATAGTTGAGTTCATGCTATAGTATTGGGGCATGTTTGAACCTCTGATTAAATCAAAGCAATGATTTATGTTTAGAATTTCAATTTAGCGTGATTTTTGCATTGCATTTGTGACGAGTCCTCTACAAGTGGATAGAGTAGCATGAAATAAAAACATAACTAAACAAAATCATAGTGTCTACCATCATCCAGTAATAATGTTTGTACTTGCACTCTGGAGAGACACAACCATGGAAGTGATTGCCATATTTTTTGCGAAGGCTGCTCAACAATTGGATTCTTGTAGATGGATCATATGACTGCTACTTTGCAGCTCTCTAGTTTTTTGTTTGTTCCCCCCCTTTTATCTTTTACCTTCTTCCCTGTTATTTTCTCCCAAATCTGGGTATCTGTTGACTGTTTAAGACAGTATCTTAGTATTTTTTAGTGTGAATTTCGTGTTCCAAAAAATGTTGAACTCATCAGTGCATTTTGTTCTCTTCTAAACGGAGTCCCATTTCTTTCTCTAGATTTAATCATATTCTTACTGTTTTAATGATAACTTTGGTAATAACCATCAATATTGAACTCGACAATTCATAATTTGTTTTTGAGAAGCACATACGTTCTTTGTTCCATTAAAGTCAAATATTTCCATTTGTGTTTTCCATCCGCATTGGATGCATCTCTAATTTTGAAAATGAATGTATCATCTTTTTGTGCCCCCAAAGATGATGAAACAAGACAAGCGCTTGTGGTTAGACTCAAGTTTGTGCAATGTATTGATAAATTCTCGGAGATGGGTTAAGGCACACTACCCTTAACCATCGCAATTCCTTAAAGTTTGACCAACCCCACATAGATACGGTGCTAGAGAAAACACACGATTGTCGTGATCTACATAGCTTGCCTTCATGATTATTATTCCATTTCTTCGATCCCCCCCCCCTGTGTCAAGAACTCAATTTCTCAGCCAAAAAACACTTTATATATTTTCTGTGTTTTTTTTGTTTTTGTTTTCAGGGCAATGAATGCTTCTCCATATGTGAGCAAACAATCTCCAAATTGTAGCAATCCCGGATTGGGTAGCCTAAGCTTCTCTATGAACACTGATGGCTCGTCTCCTCTTCAAGCCATCATTTAGATTATTTGCAAGGAGAACCATCTTCAATGATTACTTGCATTTTTCCATCGTACTCTTTTGACTCCAAATTTTAGTATATATGGTTCTAGCTAGCTTCTCCTTTTGATTTTTTCAATTGAGATAGGAGCTTTTAAAATCTAATGACATTGAGAACACTTGTAATTTGTTATTTTCTATTGTGATGTAAAAATTTATTGTTTTTACATGATTAGTATATTTTTGTTTCCCTCATGATATTAAGCAGGCCTTCCAATCAACTGGATTAATCAAAAGTGTTTATTGAGTAATGTTATAAATATCAATTTTTTTTACTATGTTTGGTTTATTATGTTGTGTTGTTATTGTATTTGTTTTATGGGTATAACCACTTATATCAATATATAGTGATGACATGCCATTTTTTTAATTTAATGTAATAAAAAAATGTGAGTTATGTTAGGAACATAAAATAATTTTTACAAAATGAAACACGCATAAGATAAGGGCAATGAATGCTTCTCCATATGTGAGCAAACAATCTCCAAATTGTAGCAATCCCGGATTGGGTAGCCTAAGCTTCTCTATGAACACTGGTGGCTCGTCTCCTCTTCAAGCCATCATTTAGATTATTTGCAAGGAGAACCATCTTCAATGATTACTTGCATTTTTCCATCGTACTACTCCAAATTTTAGTATATATGGTTCTAGCTAGCTTCTCCTTTTGATTTTTTCAATTGAGATAGGAGCTTTTAAAATCTAATGACGTTGAGAACACTTGTAATTTGTTATTTTCTATTGTGATGTAAAAATTTATTGTTTTTACATGATTAGTATATTTTTGTTTCAATCATGATATTAAGCAGGCCTTCCAATCAACTGGATTAATCAAAAGTGTTTATTGAGTAATGTTATAAATATCAATTTTTTTTACTATGTTTGGTTTATTATGTTGTGTTGTTATTGTATTTGTTTTATGGGTATAACCACTTATATCAATATATAGTGATGACATGCCATTTTTTTAATTTAATGTAATAAAAAAAATGTGAGTTATGTTAGGAACATAAAATAATTTTTACAGAATGAAACACGCATAAGATAAATGTACGAATATTAGTGTTTATCAAAATTAGTGTTTATTTTGATAACTTGAACGGAGGTTCTTGTAATTTTTTTAGGTGCAAATGAAAAAACACTCTAATTATTATTAATCTTAGGTGAAGTTAGAGTAGTTTATTAAAAAAATTAATAATGAATGATCAAATTGATTTAGAAAAAGAAAAATTATTGATTCATATTGTATGGATCAAAGGAAAAATTTAATACTTTTTGTATATGAAATATTATCCCAATTAAATGTATCAATTAAAGTCCCAACGGAAAAAAGGCGTAAATTATATTTTTGGTCTCTCTAGTTTGAGCAAGATTATCTTGGTCCTAGTAGTTTCAATTTGAACTATATAGTTGTAGGAGAGGGTTCAAGAAAGGAGTTGGAAAATTCGAAGATCTTCGAAGATCCTTAAAGAACAATTTCGAATTCTCTAGAATATGATGAGAGGCTTAGATTCTTCAATAATCTCAACTTAGGAACACGACAACAAAGGAGATGATGGAGATAAGAGATTGGGTGAAGTTGGTCCTAGTAGTTTCAATTTGAACTATATAGTTTTAATTTTGTTATAATATGATCTCTTTATCAATTACCGTTTGAATTTTAAATGGAAACGATTATATGCAAAACCAGAAAGATCAAGGTGAAATTTAAAAGACAATTAAAATTATAAAATTCAAAATTGACACTGCGATTAAAATATAGGAACTAATAATGTAATTTATCCAAAAATTATGTTCCATCAAAATCATAATTAGAAAATACTTAATTTATAATTTATGTAACGTTATACAAAATTATAAATTATACTTTTTTATTGTTATTTTTGGATCATCGATTTAAAAAGAGTTAAATATTTTTTGGAGTGAAATATATGTCAATTTTTATTATTTTAATATTAATTTTCTACTCCCAAATCACTTTAGGGGGGTGTTTGGTAGGAAGAATTTTGGCTGAAATAATCAATAAAGAAAAAGATTAAAAATAGCAAATAAGATAAAGGTCCCTTTTGGCATTGGTTGTTTTTTTTTTTAGATTAAAATAGTCAATAAAGACAAAATAAGTTAAAATAATTAATAAGATAAAATGTCACATCTAAACTATAATTATTTAATTTTTTCTCTAATAACCATCAAATCAACTAAAAAAAAAGACAACCAACATTCTAAGTACAAAATTTTTAGCCATATCCAAAATAGTAAAAAAGTCAACTAAAATAGTTAATTTTTCAAATGAGTCCAAAGTATTACATCTTACACATCAATTAATTACTTTTTCTCTCACAACTATTTAATTACAAAAAAATTTACAAATTATCGATAATATAACTTTTTTTCATCTCATAAAATAGAAAAAAAAAAAAATCAATTAAAATAACAAAATTTCCAAACAAGGCCTTAGGCTTATTTTGGAAACCACGTAATAAGCTATTTAGTGAGTCATTTCAGTCGCATTACATTTTTATTTATTTTTTTACAATCTATTCATAATATTTAAAAAAGAAAAAAAAACAAATTTATAAGCCAGACCAAAAAAACAAACACTTCTATACGATGCAAACCTCCACAAATTACCCCCACGGTATTTCCAAGCGGTTTTGCTTCGAAAGGGCACCGCCGAAAGCACCTTCGCCTGGTCGGTTCGGTTCGGGTCGAACTGTGAAACAGGCAGCTTAAATTCAAGCTCAGGGTCTCGAGTTCGGTCGGGGCGGGGTCCGTGGGTGGACTTGGGGCAGCCCATGAGCCCACAGCCCTACTTCGCCGCAATTTTCGAAGGTTCGAGGCTAACTGTGTTTTGGACTAGAGAGAGAAAAAGAGAATAGAGAGAGAGAGCGCGGTGGCCATGGATGCTGAAAAGGTTGCAGAGCTAAAGAACTTCGTGGAGCAATGCAAATCCAATCCTTCGATTATACACAACCCATCTCTAGTGTTTTTCAAAACCTATCTCCAAAGGTAATATATATATATATATATAACTGTTTTCATAAATCACTTTCAAAACCCATCTCTAGTGTTTGTTATCTTCTAATTCTGCGTTTGACACCCCTTTTGTCTGTCTGTCTGTCTGTCTCTCTCTCTCTCTAGCCTTGGCGCTCGAATTCCACCCGCAGTCCCAAAATCAGTAAGCTCCAACATCCTTGTCTGCTTCAATGTTTTGTACTTTTTAAGAATAATTCATTTATATATGTATTTTTTTTTAAATTTAAAATTTCTATAATGAGATGGTATGAAAATGAAGTGATTCCAACATGCTTGAAGATGTTTAATTGTTGTAAAAACTATGAACTGTTTGGTGTTTGTGTTTTTTTTCCAAGTTGCATTTGGGTTTAGACAGTTGGCTTTAGTTAATCTATGAGGATTAGCTTCTGCTTCATACTAATGGAGGCATAGTGGAGGACATTGCTCAAATAGGGTTAATCTGTTAGGAATTTGGAATAATGCTTCCCAACAATGGTTTTGTGGATTTTTTATTTTTTATTTTTTTATTTTTAGGGGAATTTGAAGGGGCTGCAATTAGCTTGGTTTTCAAAAGGGCAGTTTTTTGGACTCCTAGAAATTTCAATGCTGGAAGCACTGGCTGACCATTAATTTTTAAGGTTTTAGATATTCAATATTTGAATTGTTGGACAATAGGTAAGGGAGATGAATATATGCTCTGGGGTTTAGGGATTCAAGCAGAAATGGATTCATCCAAGAGATCCTTAAAGTAGTCTTACAAACCTTACCTGGCTAACATCACTTTTGTAATCTTCTGCAAAGCTCCTCGCTTGCTCTCCAGTCCTCATGTCTTGTCATATAAGAAACTCTTGATCCAAAAATGTTGCACAGAACTCCTCAATCTGATCTCTGCTCCTCATGGCTCCATTACCCTACTACCAAGTCAAAATGCGTTGGTTTTTATGCAATCACTTATTATAGAAAACCATATATAATTGAATAAAACATGAAAATCTATATAAAAATAATGAGAAGATGGGTTTCAAAAAGTTTTGTGGAACTTCTATATCCCTTTTGTTTTCTTAGGGAAGTGGAAATTGATTCATGCAACGTTGAGACTTGGACCCGACCATCACACCGATAAGGGAGCACCTCATCTACTAGGTCAACCCTTGGTCTCATATTCCTTTGGCTTTTCTCTCTCAAAAGTGTATAGAAGTTTTTGTGTGTTTTGGGAAACTTAGTTCGATTACTTATATGTTCACATGGAAATTGCCAAATCTCTCTACAATTGTAACAAACCAAGCTCGATCAGTAACGACCTATGAAGCTTTTAGTGGTTCAAGCTTGAATAACCTGCTTGTCAATGTTTTTAGCCTAAAATGTGACCCAGGTGGTCTGATAGCTTAGTAACGACTTACGTTAACTTACAATATTTGAGGTTAGGTTTCACTTCCAGTTAACTGTGTTAACATATTATATTATTATCTGAGTTATTGGTTTGTAATTATTCTATGCCCTCAGGGCTTGTACGGGAAAGAGATAAACCTTCTCGTATAATCCTGTTGATCAAGTCTGCGATCCTCCGTACGATGTCGCTTTACTCCCTGAAAACACAAGTGTGAGCTAGCCGGCGGGTGTGTGCCGGAAATCCCTCCGATGCCTAAGTCAGAAAAACAGACAAGTAGACAAGAAGTTCTGTGAATTCGAGAATTAAAGTTGTGTTACCTCTCCATAGGTGATGTTTGTGAGCTTTTATAGGTTTTGCGTGGCACAATCCTATTAGGACTTTTATTTCTCCATGCAGAGTCCTCCTAGGATTCATACTCCTAAAGGATAATGCTTATCCTTCAACACCCCCCTCACTGCTTAAACCAAGTGAGATGGTTCTTCTATGGCCGGCCTACCATACGACCGAAGTAATCACGATTTTGCTTAACCGAACTACACTAGTTCGGTTCTCTGCCCATAGTTTTCTACAAACCATGGTATGCCCAAAACCGAGCTATCTTTTTTCAAGGTTTAGACCGATCTAGTTTCACTGCGCCATGACCGGTATAAGTTCAAAGCACCCTTAAACCGGTCTAAAGCGTCCTTCAACCGGACTAACATCAAGAGTCCCTCGGACCGGTCTACCTTCTGGGCTTGAGATCGGGCTAACTTTAAGCCTCTTCAAGACCGGAGTAAGTTTATGGCCTCTTTAC